GGGGGGGGGGGAAAGGGCGGAGAGAAGGCTGCATGCAGGAGAGGAGGGAAGGCTGTGCCCCGATGCCTGCAGCTGACCGGCCCCTGGGCTCTTGCAGCTGACACCGGAGGAGGAGGAGAAGCGCCGTGTGCGCCGCGAGAGAAACAAGCTGGCGGCGGCCAAGTGCCGGAACCGGCGCCGGGAGCTGACAGACCGATTGCAGGCGGTGAGTGCAACTACGGGCACTCGGGGCCGGGTGTGAGGAAGGGCGGCCATCTCCAGAGCCTCTCGGTCCGGGGGGCACGAGGCGTCTGGTTTAGGAATGGGGGGGGGTCTTCTGGGGACCGCGCGACTGTCTGTGTACCCCAGAAATCTCACGGTCTGGGCACAGGGGACGTGGGGACATCACACCCTGGCCTACAGGTGCTGCCTGGAGGGAGTCTGCTGGGAGGTGGCCTGAGTGACACGTCCCCCCTGCTGTGTCCCGGGCACTGGGAGGGGTTGGCGTTGCACCTTGGTTCTAGCGACAGTGTGGTGCCTAGGGGCATCCCACGGGTTACAGGAATGTAGGTAGTGCCTAGGGGCGTTCCACAGCACTGGCACGTGCCCTCGACCGTGTCCCGGGCACAGAGGAGGTGGATGGCATCTCACCCTGGGCGGTAGGGCTGGCATGTGGTACCTAGTGGCCGTCCCCCAGAGCCGGAACCCGGCCAGCTTCCCGCGCAGGGGCTGCTCTCTGCCAGGTCCCTCTGACCGTCGTTTCTGTCCCCAGGAGACGGACCAGCTGGAGGAGGAGAAGGCGGAGCTGGAGTCGGAGATTGCGGAGCTGCAGAAGGAGAAGGAGCGCTTGGAGTTCGTGCTGGTGGCCCACAAGCCGGGCTGCAAAATCCCCTTCGCGGACCTGCCGGAGCTGAGCGCCCAGCCCGGCCCCGCCGCCGAGGTGAGCTCCCTGGGCGCTCCCGTTAAGGAGGACCCGTTCGGGGGGGGCCCCCGTGCGGGCCCCCCCCCCCTGCCGTACCCGCCCGGCCCCGAGGGAGCCTTCCCGAGCTGTTGCTTTGCACACGGGGAGCTGCCTGGCGCCCTGGCCCCGGCTAACCCGTCCTATACTTTTGTGTCCCCCTCCCCAGAGGGAGCCACGTGTGGAGCCAGCCACCAGCGGAACAGCAGCAGCGACCAGTCCTCGGACTCCTTGAATTCCCCCTCGCTCCTCGCGTTGTGAAACGCGGACCCTACCCCGCCAGCCCCCCCGGCCGGGCGCTGGCCCCTGCCCCTGCCCCTGCCTCACCCGCCATGGCACCCACGCCCTGGCGGGCGCTGCCGTCTGCTCCCTCCCGGGCACACGTGGAGTGCGGGGCCCTGCCCCCTGCGTGTCTGGGCAGCCATGGACCGTGGGTTCCCCCCCCCTGCCTGTCCGGGCTGCGAAAGGCACTATCCCGTGCCTGCCTGGGCGCTCATGGACCAACGGGCACTGCCCCCCGCCTGACTGGGCA